TCATCTGCTAATCATAATTCAACATGGTATGGCAACTAAGAATTCCCCTCACCCCTATGCCTTTGTCTGCCCTTCACTCTCATCTAAGTTATGATCCATTTAATTTGGTATTCTTCCATGCTTGGATCTGAACCCAGGATCCCTATATATGATGAAGACTGTTTCCCATTGGAATTACCATGATTAAATATCTCTTACAATTAGAAAGAAGTTTATAAACCTGTGTAACTTTCATTATGCAATGTTTTAGTTTTGATCTTTAAAAAAATTTCTGTTGCCTTTTGTTTTCATTATTGATTAATTAATTTTTGATTCATTTTTTTCACTTTATTTGCTTGATCACTTTTATTTTTACAAACAAACGTAGACACGGAATAACTGGTAAGGTGAAAGTTCACAAATGGGAACTTACACAAGAGGAAAAAAAAACTCACTTTTGCAATCATCTTGCTGCTAGATATTAGTTGATTGATGGGTAGAGAGTAGATTATCTGAAAAAGCTTTGTTTTCTTGAAATATGAACTATACCTGTATTTATCCTGAACTGGATTTTCTGTCATGTGTAGCATGATGTGATAAAGTATGAATGTACGTCTGCACATCTCAGCTGCATGCCTCCTGCTTTAAATGCTATATCTTGCATGTATTTGTAAACATCACATTTCTTCTGATGCTTCACGTCTTTGATCTTTCTGGGGTTTTTTAGTTGTATTTACTCAGCCAGGTAATATTTTTGATGTAACTTGTGTTACTCTAGAAGAAAAATAGAAGACACGAGAAGTTGTTGATACTTTGTTGAATCAGTTATCAATATCAAAATGCAAATAGTGTTTACTTGTACTTGTTACCATTGAAACTATAGATTTTTTTATTTAAGTACAATTTCTTTTTTTTTTAATAAAATGGTCCGAATCATCACTACTTAATTGTAAAGTTAGTACAAGAACCTCAATTTGTTTTCTAAATTTGTAAAATAATATTCGTGCATAATAGCTTTGCCAACTTTCAGAGAGTTCTTTTTGTCAAACATAAAAGTGTCAATATCTAACCACATGTATGGTATTAAGTAAAAGTTGCCCTGTAAGAAGTAACTTACAGGAAATGCAAACATTAGATCACAAAATCTGATGTTCATTTGCACATTTACTTATGGTGAACAAACAACACAGATTGTGAATAATTCTCATTAGAAAACTTTATCTCAGCCATTCTCATCTGTTGAATTCTAATTTGATTTAAAATACCACTGCACAGATTAGTAATTAATTGGCTATGGTTGCATAATTAAATACAAATCTAATTTATAATCAATTATAAATATTAATAATTTTAAATCTTGATTCAAATTACATTAATTAAATTAAAATGATTAAGATAACATGTCCTCAAATTCAAGTCATTAGGGTAGAATCTTGAAGAAGTTTTATCAAAATACAAAAAACAACCAGCTGTCTACGAAGAAAAATAATGTACTGTAACTTGTATATTTGTGGACACATTCTTTTAATTACCAAAAGCACCTAAGCCAAGTCTGTATGAAACTTGTTTGTTTGGATAGTATATTGTCGGGTCTAGATAGCAAAGTGAAATTATACAATCCTAAGTCGTATGGAAAATGTACATGTAAGGGATGTGAATTGATGACACCATGTGTGTTTCAGATTCACTTTTGATGATTGCATTGTTTTGATCACTGTGCAATTATAACTACGGTACATACATGGTGTACACAGCACTCATGAATGTTTTCACAATGTAATTTTCTCGTCTTTCCACTACTAGATCGTTCTGATCACTAATAGTGACTATAAACATTGTATACCTGTTAAAGGAATTATGATATAACCATATTTTTCTATCAGAAGACATTGGCTCACTTCTAATACAATCATAACATGTATTTGTATTCAAGTTATGCTTCTAATGTTTGTGTGATGACCTTGGATGCAAATCAACGTTGAGATCTCTTTCTGAGTGAAAGTGGAGACTTATGATTGGCTATCAAAATAGTGTTAATTCTCTCCCCTCAATGCATTCAAAACCCATAATTAGATCAGAGAAAAAGTGAACACAATAAGGAAACTGAGTTGAACACTATTTGAGGTGAAAAAACATATCACATTACTCTTACTCTCAACAAGGTCTCTGTAATTTGTGTTTATGTTCTTATACTTACCCATATTTTAACATTTTACGTTATCAACATCATGTAGCAATGGTTTTTCCTCTTTTACAGTACCAACACCAAAATATCCTTAATTTTTTGGACCGTAGTGGCACTGTGAACCTAGAAGAGCATAGCGTTGATCTTGATGATTTAATGCAACAAGCCGAGAGAGATAATGACAACAGACCAGTACGAGACAGATCTAGAAATAGACATCCATCACGCGAAAGTGAACGAAGCATGCACAGTATCGATACCCAGGTGTCTCCATCACAATCACATGTTGATACCCAGACTGGACAGACTTTGAAATTGCTGGGAGAAAATCAAGTCCCTGTCACAGTGTATGGATCACACCAGATGGAACCAACACTGATGTGCCACCTTATATGCATGGAACTACTTATTCCGCAGACTCCAGTCACACAGTGCCTCGGCTATGCCTTTCCGATATAAGTGGTGATGGGCCGTTATCACAGCGTGCATACCACGAGCCTGTACTTGACCATGGTATGCCTCTGCTGAGGTTACCACCAGAGGCACAGGCACATTTAAGAATGCCAAGAGCACGGCCCTTCCTCGCTAGAGATGCATGGAAACCGCATACAGATGAACATCAGGAATCTGTGACAGGGAAAGAGTTTTTCAGCAGACCTGAGCTGAAGAGGTTTGAAGATGAAATGAAAAGCAACAGGAAATGGTAAAATACCTGACAGAGTATGGACAGGTCAAAGGCAATGTTCATGGCAAAAAGTTCTTCTCGGTTGCCGAGGAGAGTGAAAAGACTCATAAAAGAGAACACAGCAAGGACATTGAAAGTAAATTTGAAGTCAAGAGGAAAGAAGATTCCACAATACCCAGGGAAAGAGGATTTGTGCATGCAATGCCACTGCTAAGACTTGAACCTGGTTATGCGCCCTCTAGACTCTTTGATCATTATTATAGTATCAATGACAATAGACATGTAACAAACTTACCTCCTGTTGATGCATCAAGGGAAGCCCTTCACATACATAACAAAGAAACCCCACAAGCTGACAATGTATATACTTTTCCTCTACTTCACCTTGATAAAGAAGCCTCTAGACCATGGGTTGGAGGAGAAATGAATGGATATCATCATGGAGTTCCCAGGTTGGTTCCTCCGGAGGTCATAATAAACTACGAACAGCAGAAGTACCACAAGGAAATGTCTAAGTTCCGTGGCGTGTACAGAGAGAATGTGAAAAATGCACACATGCGTGATTGGCAGAACAGACTTGCATTTGGTGATCAGACTGGTCAGAGTAAGGGCGGATACTACCCTCATCCTGATGAGATGGGACCAATACAGTTATTACATGCTAATATTGAGCCATTTGAAGCAGAAGGGGACAGACATAATATTACAAGGTATTTGTAACTTGTGTTTAGGATGATTGATTATATTTCATGTTCATAATATTTTCATCATTATGATTTCTTGTCATCAGGTTATCAGTTGATTTTTTGAGATACAAGTATCCTATCCTAATGGTAAAATTGGCATTTTTAAGCTTGCCTATATGGTTGGATTATTTCTTCATATTTTAAAATTTTGCTTGGTGATTATTGATATGTATTATACATCTGTCATCGTAACATCGTAAGTTACAGGGTGCCGTAATTTTGCAGTATTACACTGGGTATTTTCATCCTACCATATTAGGAAATGCGAGTTCCAAATATGAAACAATTACGCACTTAAGCATCCTCTAATAATAAAAACAAACATGGCGGCCCCCCAGGGTTTGACTGGTCCAGTTCGCTGATTCTGTTCTAAACTTTTTGTTTTTCGGCATTCCCATGATGTATCCTTGGGAGGAAAAGATGTATAATAATAAGGTTATTGCGTGGATACTCCAAAGTATGCTCTCAGACAGTTCATCACATCGACCTCCGCTGCGCACATGTCGAATCTGTCTTTGTGCATACTTTTAGTATCCTCATAATAACCTCATAATATTCCTTGACCAATATATACAAAACAAATATTGTGAGATTGTGGATTAAAGAACATTCTAAATTATTAAAGCTAGATATGTAAACAATACACACTCATTGAATTAGAAGACTTTGTTTATCTGTGAAGATCAGTTACATTGTAAGTATGTTTGTCCAAGGGATGAGACCCTACAGTACTTTCAAAATGAAATGTGTGAAAGTGAGAGCAGAATTTCTACTTTTTATATATTGTATTTTCAGCTACAGCAGTATCATTTAAAAAACTTTTCATGTTTTTATAGCTTGTACTGGGAGTGTGATGTTATACAATGTTTATGAAGTAGGAATACAACTTTACTTTACTTCATGCAACCGGATATGTATTTTGTCCAACCTTTGTAAACTTTGATGTGAACTTAAACACTTTAGCTACCTGAATTAATGAGTTGTTTTTGACAAATATAGGAGGAGAAGAAGACGACAGAAAGACAAAGATGGGAAGACCTCTAAATCAAAAGAGACTGAAAGTGAAAGTAGATCTGAATCAACAAGGTCCCAGAGAACACCCAGGAGTAAAGAGGTATGATTATTTCACTTTAAATCTCACACAATTAAAAGGAAATAAGCCAAGATTTTATCTGTTTTTACTACTGAGCCAAAATGGTTTTTGTGTACCAATTTAAAAAGAAAAAAAAAAAAAAAAATTCGCCTTTTTTTTATTCTCATCATTAAAAGTTGTTTAATGCAAGATTTATCGGCTGGCATTACTTTGTTTCTCCTGTAGCATGATGTATCTGATATTGATAACAACAGAGGATATGTCATTCCACCAGGTATGTACAGTGACAGTGTCTTCCTCTCCCTGTGGAAAAACAGCTGCATCGCCCTCTAGTGGTGACCCTTTAATTTCTTTCAATCCCAGTATCTTTAAATAGATGTATAATGTAATACTGAACACACTGATTATACTGATTACCGTTATCTTACTGGTTCTTATGGACCTATGATCCCAGGTCGAATCATATCTAGGTTGAAACGCCCTCTACCCTGGATGGGAGTAGCAAGGCCAAATTCACTTGCCAAGATTCATTCACTAATGGATCCAACATTTGGGGGAACCTTGGTTGAAATCGTCATGTGCTTGTGTTAGACCTGGCTTGGTTGATGCCGGGATAGCACATTGCCATTTGATATAGTGCTTATGTCACATAGACCTATATATGAATGCACACTGTGTATAAATTAACATTAATAATGGCCGAAAAGACAACAAAGTCACCTGGGTATGGCGCAACAATTTTTTTTTTAAAACAACAAAAAACATGTTGATATAATAATACTAGTTATACATTTGTCATGTGACCAGCATTTTAGTTGGCATAAAAGTGATGAATAACAATATAAACTTGTAATACTAGGTTTATTAAGGCCTCAAATTTAGCTACGTGTATTTTTAAAATTCTCAGACCTGCAGCCAATATTAAATATTGTTCATTTTGTCCAAAAAAGATTTACGGAATAATACATAAAATTGTGCAAAATAATCTGGAAGGAAATAATAATAAATAGTAATAGTAATATAAATAGTAATAATAATAATAAAAAATTCATTATTTTAATGACATGATCATATTTGCCTGATTCTATTTCCTTACCTGGCATTATAAGAAAACAGTGACCATGGTTAACAAGCTCATTCCATTTTATCATAGGGGTGGCAGATTGAAGTATACACCTTAATAAATTATCTAATCCTTGTTGTTTTAGGTTCTTATAACTGTGAGTTGAGATACAAGCATGATGTCTCCATTTATCCTACTCCAGCTGAGATACACTTAAATGCTATCACTCATAAAGATGCCAAACCTAGAGATCATGGTGTCAACCAAGATGTGTCCACTTCCATGGACACCAATGGTCTTGACGCTGCGGGCAAGAGTGTCAGATTCAAAGAACCAGGTAGGTGCTTTGTGAAAATAGAATTGGACCACTAGAGGGCATAGTTTAATGCATAAAGGGTAGTAGAGTAGGATGGTTCCTGGCCTCAAGTGCCATGGCGTATCAAACTGTGGGAGACTGATAATCGTGTCAGCATAGTGATTGGAAAATGACATGTGGGAGATGTGAAAAAGTGAAATTCAAGCAAATTTGTAAATATTTATATCAGTTGAAATTCAATTGTATGGTATGTGTACAAGTCAGTGTAACCATTGGACCAATTCAAAAAACAAACGTAAAAATCAGGTTGATCACTAGAGGGCACTCTAGGTGGCACTATAAGCTCACAAGATGAGACGCCATCTAATTTGACCCAAGGTGACTGACACCTGACTGTGTTTTTATATTGCGTCTAGATGAAGTAACTTCAGCGGATGCAGTGAACCAGTATTGTGAAGCAGCTACTGGTTTGTCAAGCACTGGCCATGTTATAGCACCTGAGATATTTTTTGGTTTGAGATTTGGTCAAGCCAAAGAGGAACAATCTAGTGTAGATGAAGGCAAAGATGATCAAGTAAGTGTCCATTTAAGTTTATCACTTGTAAAGTGCAAAACAGTATGTTTGATAAACAAAAGTTGCATTCATTGTATTTATGCATTAGAGTACCACATTCGTTATGTAGTGATTGTTCTAATTTCTTGACTCACAATGAACATGATGTGCTGCAATGACCGGCGCTTTAACGGAAATGATTTTCTTAGTCATCAAGCCCTCGCAAGAAAAGAGATCACAAACGTTGTGATCCAAATACACTGACATTTAGACAAGCACAGCTCAATAGAATAACATAAAAATGATTTAATCTATTCTGGTGACATTGGTATACCTCAAATATGTTAAAGCAGTAACTACATATTCTTGCAAAGTTCACTACTTTTATGTGGATTAAGTAAATTTCCCCTGACTTGTTGTTTAATGATTAGCATATCTGCCAAGAGAATGTGGGGTTGATCCATTTTCTTTGCTTCAGAAAGCTTTCAATTCATGTGGTATTCCTATCCTTGATGTACAAAATTAGTATCTGTGACGAAATTATCATCCAGAAATTTGTTTGGGTCTACCTAGCAAATGCACTTGAAATGCTGCAGCTAAAGCAAAAATTAAGAACTTTTCTTTTTTTCATTTTGCAGCAATCTGGCAGGTCATATATCAATGTTGTGGATATTGATACCAGCATATTAAACAGTATCCCTGAGAAAGAAGATCAAGTAACTGCAAGACCGCCTGCACAGCCAACGTCCTCAGTTTCACCGAGAGCTGACGAAATGGAACCCAGTATTGCAGAGTTACATTACAACGCTATGAGACTTAAAGATGGAGATTCAGCCATCCCATCTGTATCAGATCGCTTGACTGTGCAGTTGTTGGATGGTGGTATGACAGCTGATAGGTATGTTTAGAATCAGTCATAGTAGGCTGCTAAGACTCAGGTAAAATAC